CACCTTTTCAAATGAAAAGTTTGTTTTATAAAATTTTTCGATCGATTTCAAATTTGGGGACTGTAATCTACGTAACTAAATCTACAACTTTGCGTTCAAGGATTTTCAAAATATGCATTTTACAAATGCAGGCAGAACAAACAATACAAAATATCAAACAGTTGGGGACAACTAAGTATACATACACACACACACACACATACATACATACAAGCAGCTGTTCGTGTAGTTGCGTGCAAACGGTTGAAGTAGCCAAAGCAAAATGTGAGACACTAATGTGTGAATGTAATTTTTTCTTTGTTTAGTACATTTGGCATTACGGTCTTCATTAGTAACTTTATGCAGCAACAAAAAATTACAAAGAACTCAAACATGAAATAGTTGGGGACATCATATAGACACACTCACACACAGAACAAGTAACAGTTCGTGTCTACACTGGTCGGCACAATTATTTTGACGAACTGTACTCACGACTATCGGTGCTGGTTGCTTTTAGTTTCAAGGAATAACGGTACAATTTTCATACGGGATATTGAGTTCATAGCAACAACAATATGTAGGCAAAATATTTTGTCTATTACTCTTCACACCTTTTTTCTACAAATGACAATGTGAGTTGACTGCGGATTCAGGCACGGCATAAGTATTTTGACCAAACCTTGTCGCCGTTTTCGCGTACGTTTTATCAAGTGATACTAAAATAACTTTGGTGTAACAATTTTTGTTGACCTTTTTACATTATTTTCATTAAAATTTGATTCAAAAGTAATCGATACAATGGTAAAAAAGACAGAATTAAGTTATGTTGTTAGAGCCTCAATAGTGGCGAAGTTTAATGCCGGCGTAGCACCAAAAGACATTGCAAATGAATATAATTTGTCGCGGCAAACAGTCCACTATCAAATTAACAAATATAAGACCCACAATGACGTCAAAAACTTGCCTAGATCAGGTGCTAACCGCAAAACAACACCCATTGAAGATCGAGTCCTATTGCGGGAATTTAAAAAAAATATTCATTTAAAGCCGCAAGCTGCTGCAGATCAATGGAATAAGTCGACCAAGACTCCAATCAGTGAGCGTACTGTTCGGCGACGCCTAAAAGAAGAAGATTTTAAGACATACAAAGCGAAGGACATACCTTACATATCAAAGGTGAACAAGCTCAAAAGATTGGCTTTTGCAAAGGAGCATCTGCATAAGCCAAAAGAGTTTTGGAGAAGCGTTCTATGGACAGATGAAAGCTCCTTTGAATATAATTCATCAAAAACAAAGATTTTTGTAAGGCTCCCACAGTTTCAAAGACAAAAAAATATCCCCGTATGTCAAAAAGTGAGCCATGGCGGAGGCTCAGTCATGTTCTGGGGATGCATTGCGTACAATGGGTTAGGTGATTTCGTTCCCATCACCGGCTCAATGAACCAGCAACAATATTTGAGTACCCTTAACGAAAACGCATTCCCTTCCGGTGACAGGCTGATTGGAGAATCATTTATCCTGCAACAGGATAACGCCCCATGCCACAAAAGCAAAATGATAAGAGCATTTTTAAGCGATGTTGGTGTTACTACTCTGGATTGGCCACCACAAAGTCCGGACTTAAACGTTATTGAGAATGTGTGGTCTCTTGTAAAACGTAAAAGAAATGCGTCTTTGCATAAAACCGAAGAAGAAACTATTTCCGAGGTCACTTCTCTTTGGAAAGAGATACCATTAGAGGTCCTTCAAAATTTAGTGGACTCAGTTCCAAGACGTCTTCAAAAAGTTATCGAAGCCAAAGGCGGGTATACATTTTATTAATCTACCATCAATTTCTTATGTTTTGTTTAGTATTAAGCTTTGTTTTTTTTGTTAATATCCATTGTCAAAATACTTATGCCAACCCATGAAAATTACCTTGATTTATAATTTTAAAAGTTCTTATAAAAATATATCCTTTGAATTATTTTTAAGTTTGTAATACCAATATGGAATTGAGAAAAAAAGTTTCCTTTGATATCTTAAACCAATAACCAGTTATTGACAAAAATGTATGATTTTCTTCTCGTCAAAATAATTGTGCCGACCAGTGTATGTGTGCGGTTCTCTACTTACGGTTGAAAAAGTAAAGAGAAACATGCATGCATATGTACATACATATGTATGTATGTATTCCTGTGTACGTACATATATAGTATGTATGTACATTCGTATGTATGTACGTATGTATGTATGTATACATAAGACAATCGAGCCCTGTTGTTTGATTGTAATAAATAATGTTCTATTGTTTTAAATCAAATTTTTAAAACGAAAAACAACGACAACTGCAGGTCAAAGGCAAAATGCCAAAAGTTTACAGTTACCGTCGCTAGGCAACGACTGCGTAAGCGATAGTAAAGCAGAAACCGCGTTGCGGGCAGATGTACATTTGTATGTTTGTATATGATTTGTTCTAATTGATCTCAATAAATTATAAGATGTTATTATTTAAATTTTCTGTTAATTGTATTCAAACTTCGATGGAATTATTGATTGTACCGACGGACTCAACTAGCCTATTTTGTGAGTGTATTCGTGCGATTTACAAAAGCAGAAACACACCTTTTACATTCACAACAATCATATTTGGAATTGAAGACACAAATTAGTATTGAATTAAAAAATGTAATACATACTTATATATGTATGTATGTATGTACATATATAGGCGGATGACGCCTGCATGAAAAATTAAAATGTATGTACATATCAGTGTTGCCGAACGCTCTAATTTTGGCGGGACGTCCCGATTTATAAATCAAAATTAAATGTTCCGCGTCGGACTTTTCGGGGATAACTCGATCGTGCGTACAACGTGCTGAGGAAGCACACAGTTAAGTCAGAACTGGCAGTCCGCCCGGTGCGGAACGAAGATATGTACATATGTATGTATGTACGTATAACCATACATAGTACTTATTGTACTATATTTGCTATTTGGAAAATGAACTCTTTAAAAAACTTTAGAGAGCGTCGAAAGAAGAATATCATATAGTCAATAAACTTTTAATTATAAGCACATTTTACTTAGCCCAGCAAAGACGGGCAAGACCTGCTAGTTTTTGTATAATAGTGGCTTTCAAAATAGCTGTGGTCTTTATTTGACAATTTAAAGCAACAATAACTTTATTACTGCCTGCTTGAAACTGCTTTCTTGTAAATTTTCGTTTTTCTATCCTGGGAATCCTTTTCGTAATTCCTTATCAGGGTTTGAGTTTTTTCTCCAAACGATGCCTGCTTAGTAAGCAGCGAATACTGCAGAATTGGATAGAGTTGCCATTATTTCCAAACTGTTACCAGTATTCAGTCCTGTTGGAGGTGTTTTTGTTTGTCCTTTGAGCAGGATGTGCATCGACTGACACCGATGAATGGCCAATGACACTGGATACCAATGGAAGTCCGTCGGCGAGGATCTCTGTTCGCGGATTTATCCCGAAGTATTCCCACGTTGAGATTTCTGGGGATTCTGTGAGCACGACCAGAACTGCTGCCCAACGGACCTCTCTTCAATAGAGTTTCGATTTATTGCGTTGACGTTCGTCATTTTGTTGACCAACCCTTCCTTTCCAGTTGCGTCCTCAACGATTGTGATCCTGTGTTAAGGATCACGCCGGGGTTACCAAAAATATGTTGTTGTTTGTTATGTTAGCCCCAAGTAATAAACTAGTGGCTGAGAGTTTGTACACGTGTAACTTTGTTCGGAGACGCTGGAAGAAATGTGAGATCAGAAGAGCACGAATGTTCTTTTGGTTCTGTCTGTTTATTAATCGAAATGCAAGGGCTTATTTACAAAATTTTGAATGTGCGTAGGTTTTATTATTTATAATCCAATTGTACGCAGCTAGCTGAGTCAGTGCGTGCATATCCAGCGTAGGTGTAGGTAGACGTGGCAGCCGGTTGGTGGTTGTTTTTGCACATGCGCGGCCGCTATTCTAACAATAGATTTTTCATACAAACTTTGGAGCTCGTTTTCCACCACTTGGAGCTCGAATTTTCCAAAATTTCTTAGTGCTCACTTTCACTGTGAGATGGATCTTGTGTCAAAATTTCAGCTTCCTAGCTCTTATCGTTTGGGCTATGCGTTGATTGTCAATCAGTCAGTCAGGACAAACTGTTTTATCTATACTAATATTATAAAGTGGAAAGATTTGATTGTTTGTTTGTTAGTTTGAATTGAAAAGGCTCCGAATATACTGGACCGATTTAATGGATTCTTTTATTGTTGGGAAGCTACACTATCGACGGTTAACATGGGCTTTATTATATTTGCAAAAAAGAATGGAATCCTTACTAAAACGCCAATAATGTAACCAAAGGTGTAAAAAAATTAAGGCAATGTTATTCAAAAGCCCCCAAATAAAAAATTACAAATCGATCGACACCGTGATTAATATTGAAGACATTTAAATTCACTAAACCCTTCTGGACTGCAGCCACATGAATTGACGGTAAAATTCAGAATTGCAATCATGTTTTTGAGAAATTAAAGCCTTCCAAGCATGTGCAATGGGACGAGGCGACTAATTAAGGAATTGCAGGACAATTTAAGTGTAGCAACTATTATCAACGGCCCAGTAACTGGTCAACTAGCTCATATAACGAGGATACCGATGATCCCATTTGATCATTTATATGGCTTTAATTTCCGGTAGTCCCAAGGCCAAGCCTTCGAATTAGTAGGGATCGACATACGAAAGCAATGTTTTACTATATGTTGACCTATCACCGCAAAATAAAACATCAAATATCTTTTACAGAGAACCGCTGACCTAATAAAGAATAACAAAAAAATCTACAAATTAAGAAAAATCATTTAAATAACATTATCCAAAGTGAATTTTACTCCTTCTTAGTAACTTATATACTTGTATTTATATATGTACATATGTGTTATAAAATATTAAAAATTTAAAAATTTTTTTGGTAAAGTACCCTTCCGAAGCAGGAGCAGGACGCTACTATATATATAGAGATTGGTCCGATCTGTTTGAAAAAAAATTTTTACGTAGTTCCAAATTTCTGTCTGGCTACCGTAAATTTTTGAACAAACTTGTTTGAGAGCTTGAGCATTTTATTCCGTCTTACGCTTTGTTCATTTAATATACTACAAACGTCAAAAGTAAAAATGTGTTCAAGTATGTAGAGTTTTAAGGTACTCTACCAGAGAAGTTGGACTTTGTTGCTTGTCAAAACGCAGGTCAATAGCTCTTTCTGTAGAGTCTAAACATGGGGCACAGCCACAGGCTGAAGGCACTTCATGCTGAAATAAAAAAAGAAAATTAGAGCTCATTCTTTAAAAGCATCATACGAGTATATGTATAAGCGAATAAGTTACTCTTTGCTCGAATTTAAATCCATCTTCGCATATCATTTGCACTGATATTGGTTTATAGGACTTGATGCTACAGCAATGGCAAAATTTCTCATGCTCATCTGTTAAAGTGTTATACTTGGATCCAGAATTACAAGCACCCACGCAATCCGTAAAACCCTTAATGGGCTCAGCATTCACGCAAACACCATGATCTGGTTTCATTGTCTTAAGCAACTCTTTGGTCATCGTTTCCGCCAATGAAACAGGCAAGCAGTTTCCTGTAAAAAGGTCAAGTTATCTAAATATATTGAAAAGATTTTGGAATTCTTTACTTTTATCCTCTGAAATCGGTTCCACTTTACAGCGCTTACAGCAGCCCTCATCATATAATAAATGTGGTGCACATTGAACTACATCCGGACAGGTTTCATGGGAAGAACTGATTATTAACACGTTTTCCTTCTCTAGGCAACTATACTGTGTACAGTTATCATGAGAATACCATAGTTCATTTGGCTTGTATAGCTTATCCTTAAACACACACGCAGTTTGCACACATTCGCCACAGCACTTGCTACTGTTCAGTTTTTGATAGGTGTATCCTGGTGCACAATCGATTTGGCATTGCTCCAATGTGGTGATAACTTGTGCGATACCATTGGGACCGATTGAGCAGAGTTCATGCTTGCAAAAATCTTGGGGATGTAACCACTTTGTGCCTATTTTCTTAGAGAACTTGGAATCTTCATCAGTTCCATATTGGATAATGCATAGATGTTTGGGGGGCACTGTAAGTGTTAAAAAGGGAAGCAATGTTATTTTAAAAATTAAATATGGCGTATATTTAAATGGATATGAGGCATTTTTTAACGACTTCATACAACTATAAATACACTGAATTATTCTTACCACAATCATAAGTGGGACAACAATCTTCCGGAGCCTGTGTTTTTTGTATTTCATAAAAACGATCAAGACAACTAACCGGCGCTGGGCATAGATCCGGCTTGCAGACAATTTCTTGTGTTGGACAGCAGCCCTCTTCTACTTTCACGAGCAATTCGCCAGATTTTAATGCACGTGGCGGTAGTGGCGGATCACATTCATCTTTTGGTTTACACTCTAAGGTCACGATTAGCAAATACTTTTCTTAATACTTGGATCCTGTATACTTACCACAGATGTACGTGGAGCAGTTATTCACGTCCGTCCTCATTTTCTTTAACTGCCCTGGTCCACACAATGGCATTAATGGCTCAAGACACATATTCTGCGGCACTTTCGACTCCGGAACGCAGCGATAACGTGGGCAGCACTCCTCCTCGCTCACTATTTTTTTGGGCGAGTAGCCTTCGGCGCATATATTCTCCTCTATCTGACATTTTTTCATAACACAAGACGTTTTGCCTTTAAAATCGCATTGGCAGTCTGTGCACTTGTCCTGCTTCCACTGATCTCCAGGAAGATGTACTCCATCATCGCACTTTGCGCATGAAGCCTCTGGGACACATTTGCCCTCATCCAATACTTTACCTGTAGGGCAAAAGCAACCCTCAAAGCGATCGGTGTTCATACACATTTCATCGCTGCTGACTGTATTGAACACTGCTTGGGTATTTACATTAATGGCATCGAATTCTGACATTGCTTTGACAGTTTCACATGTTTTCGCACAACCACATGGCTCATAGATCATATCATCGGGACACTCGTACGGGCAAATGTTAGGTTTTCTCCAATTTGTGCAGATATCATGCTTTTGACACTCCTTTGCATACGCACTAAAAGCCTCGCATACGCCTTGCTGTGAGTTGCCCGGCTTGCAAATATCCTGCTGGCAGGCAGAAACATATGGTAATGGCTCCACAACTAATGGACATTTGCCAAACATATCCTCATTAAAGAACTGCAGGCATGGGTCCTTTTCCGGTGGAAGCGATTTACAGTGGACCTTTGGAACTTCTTCACTAAGGCATTCCATTGAACTTAAGCCCAGTTTGGGCTCATCGGCCTGCCAACTCCGTATAACGTCACTCAAAGCTAGCGTCTTCACGCGTGGTCTCTTCGCTATATTTGGTTGTAAATCATTTTGTGGATCATCATTACAATCGCCACACAATCCTTCCATTTTTCTACCATATTTGATACTCGGTACACCAAGAGAAAATACCGAATCATCGAAGGCCGCTGTAATCTCTAAGTGGGATTCGGGTAGAGATAATATCAGTTCCTTGCCCACAACTTCCTTAAGTGCAATCCAGCTGTCTTTGTGTGGAAACTTTTTCACCTCAAACCCGTCGACAAGCACATGAAAGGATTTAGGTTTATTTGGAATTCTTTGTATGTGTATCACATGATCGCCATTAAGAACGTGCAACGCACTGGCACAACTAGTAAGGTCGTCAGCTGAACGCAGCCAAAGTTTTTTACAGTATTCCATGCTAACATACACTTGAAAAGTGTGTACACCAGGTAAAACTATATCCCGGGAAAGCAAATATGTGCAATTACCATTGAAGGTAAAGCTCTTTCGGTCATATGTTACATATTTAGAGCTTCCGATAGCATTACACACACAGTCCTTACACTCTGCAATAGGGACGCAAGATTTGCCTTTGCGTACCATACCATCAGGGCAGTAACATCCAGGGAAACATGCCTCAGGAAGTACTGGACAGTCGTCACTGTGCAAAGTATCACATGAAGGCTCGCAACGGCGCTTATAGCAATCGGAATGTACCAATGGTGAGGGGCAACTGATCTCACACTGATGAACTGTACGCCAGGTAGTAAGCTGCACTTGCGGATTGACACTCAGGCACTTCTCGACAAACCTCTGTAGAATATCACACTTACAAGCTGAAATATCGCCCTGATTGGACTTGAGACAATCGCAAGTAGTTTCTATGCATTTGGTCACAAATTGCTTGTAATTCACAGCCTTGGTGCATTTTATAAATGATGGGTGCCTGAAAATCAGTGTTATAGTTTAATTGGACAAAAGGCATTCCATAGTATTCACCCACTTGATGGTATTACACAAAGCTAATGCTCTTTTCTGTAAATCCAGTGGACACTTTTGATCTCCGCACTGTTCTTTGGGCACTTTCTTATCATACCAACTATCACCAAATTGTTCCGTATTCGTCAGAACTGTACCATTGGGTCCTCGTTTGTCATCACTGGGATTTCCATTATAATACCCACACATTCCGTCAACGGTACGAATAAACTTGGAAGATATGCCCACTTTGATGATGCCTATATCATCGAACTGCACCCAGAAGCCATACTTTGTGGATACTACTAGCACAGTTTTACCTGGCTGTGAAACTACAAACGAAGCTTTGCATATGGGTGAATTGATAAGCTGCTCCACACTAAAGTCAAAGCCATTAAAGTTAACCTTTTGTTGTGGCAGTAAGACTAGTGTATTGGCTGCCAGTAAATCCTTAATCGTCACCACCTTATGGCATAGTTTATGCAACTCATCTCTGCATTTAAGATGTACTGTGATGTAGAAGACGTAATTTAAGGTGAATAGATACAAGTATCAATCGTTGGAGCCCATAATAAAAGTAAGAAGTACCCAAATAATACATACCGGAAATCAACCAACTTCCATTATATATATCTCTGGCTAAAATGTGACTACATGGTGTATATTTAAATTCGGTGCCATCGAAAGTCGTAAAAGTCTTTCCGCTGATCTCGCACACATCGTCCTTTGTAGGTCGTAATACGCATGTATACTTTAAACAGTCTCCGGCCTTAGTCATTGACATATCCAATTCCACATCATACTTATCTGGGCATTTCGGTTCAGCGCAAGTGGTAGTTTCATTTTTATTTACTAGTGTGCTGGGTATAGGAACGCATGTAAACTCGCTACATTCCTCTTCTTTCGTGACCTCCATCTCTGTGTTTGGCATAGTAAGCAGTTCTTCTTTGGATGATATTATCTTAGTCTTAGTAATTTTGGTGCCATCGTCTATAATGGAAACTTTCTTTGAAAAGGTGAACATTTTCGACATTTTACGTTGTTTCTTTTCAATGATTTTGATCTTCATTTGTGGTGGACAAACTGGTGTCGGACAGGTAATTATCACAGCTGTAAAAACATCAATAGTGAGATGTGCATATGCATAAAGCGATCTGATTAACAAATAGAATAGATTACATACTTTCATTTTTCTCATGCTCAGCTTTTGGTTCTACTGTAAAGGCATCCCTGCAGGTAGCGTCCTCGTCGTCGGCACAATCTTGTACACCATTGCACCAGAGCAGTTCAGGTATACAATCACCACTTGAAGGACACAAGCGTTGCAGCTTAGGACAGGGCTCGCATTTACAAAAGCAATCAGCACTTAATACCGGGCGCAGTTGTCCACTACATGATGGACATTTTTTGGGTTTGCAACTTTTATGACCTCCCACCACACATACACATTCCTCACAAGCTGCATTCTCAAACTTGCTGCCAATTGGATACATCATGTAGTCCTCAACACAGGGGCACAGACTTCTTTGCACGCATTTATTGCCATCCCAAAAATGCAGCTCGCTACACCTGCATTTTTCCGTACTAGTTATGGTCAGACCATCACATATGTTGCACTTGGATGGCTCTAAGTCGACCAAACTAATATCCTCTTTGATAGATACTAGCAAATATTTTTAATAGAATTAGAATACTGACATATGCGGTTTTAGTTATTGGTGGCTTACGGTATGGTGTGTAACAGCCCAGTGGCTCAATACGCATGTTAATGTTACGTTCCCAGTTCGCAGGTAGTAACCTAAGATATTGCGTAAAAATTGGCTTCTTAAAATGATGAATACGCTCTGTGACACTATCGATGTTGGCTTCAAATATGCGCGGTTGTCCATCCCAGTGCAAAACGTTATTCCAAAGCCCTTTTGTTCTAGAGAAGCGTACTTTGTAGCCAGTTACCCAGCCATCAGGACCCCCTTTGGTTATAAAACCAGATATATTACGAGGTTCCAAAAAGTCAAACTCAACGAATTCATTCGGGGTATTAGCCAGTGGGCGCCATCCCACTGGCGAAGATAGCTTGAGCAGATCGAGCAGCCGAGCCTTTTTCGATGGCACAGGTTGCCAAGTACTACTAGCCTTGATCTGCTGTTCATGCAATTTCCCCTGCTCAACACCCATTTGATCAATACACTCAATGTCCAATTGGGATACGGTTGGACGCAATGTTGTTGTATGATATGCTTCAGTCACTTGCTGTGTTCGGTCGCAAACTAATATATCAACCCGCATAGCTATAGAGTCATGCCATTTGAGAGGGTAAAATCGGAAAGATGAAGCCTCGAATGGTATTTTAAACAAAGTTTGAACGGCATTTCGTGAATCCAGTGGGCCATTGAACATTTGAGGCTTATCCGATTCATCAACCACGTAGTGATAGGCAATACCATCTTGACTGTATAAAATCTAGTTGGACAATATACGTTATAAAAGGTACGCAACACATTTTTATCAACCAGACCTTGTAGAGAGTAACATATTTATCAAAGTCCGGACTACCTGCCATAATGACACCATAGAAAGGCTCCTTTTGTCCGAAATTTATTTCAAGATATTGCATCTGATCATTGATGCTAGGCGACCAACTTCCAGATTTTGTCTTGTCCTTCGTTAGGCGCGCTTTGTATGGCTCATGCCCTAGCTTAAATTTAGAACTAGCATTAAAGATATTATCTGGCATGGACTTCTGGCCATTTTCAATCTTCGGTATGAGACTAAAAGACATTTGATTAAAAAGATATCGTAAATGATAATAGGAAATTAATTGGTATACTCACAGCTCCGGTGCGCATTGTTCTGGTGGTGTAAGAGTCACTGGGAAAACAGGTGGTTCATGCTCACCTCTAGGCTCCTCTGAAAAAATAATGAAGAATCTAAATTTCAGAACAAACAAATATGCCTAAATACTAATATAGAACTGACCCGTTGGTGGTACAGGAACAGGCTTGTTTGGAACGCAGGTAAAGGCATTATCAATACATTGGCAAACTTCCCGTTCACTCACTACCGGCCCATGTGGTTTTACATAAAGATCAGCCTTGTCCATACACGGACATTCATCGGCATAAACACAAGTATCCTCATCGCGCCAGTATTTTCCAAGTTTGGGACAGTCAGGACGATTCTTGTCCACACATCCGGACTTACAGTGCTCCCTTGTCTGACATAGGCCACGTTTTCTCAAAATATTACCATAATAATGACATGTATGTTCACACTGATTAGCGCAATCCATCCATTGCCTTCCATCCTCGCATTGGTTTAGTACTTCTACTTCTGATTTGGGCTTACCACAGTTTGGCCGAAGCTCTTGAACAATCGCTATATGATCGCATATAAACATTGTTGGATTAAACATCATAAATTCTCCACAAGTCTTTTCAACATATGTCCAACCACCACTAACACTAAACGGTTGACAATGTAAAAACTTATGACAGTCACCAGGATATTCCTTGTATTCGGCCTTGGCCACGTCGCAGCTCTCTCCTATTTCTGGTTTCAAAGTGGGCTCAGATGTAGACTTGATCGTTTCATCACACTGACAAAAAACGCGAAGCTCGTAATCATGACATTTTCCTAAGCATGTCAGCCCTTCATTCAGATTACACATAACATTTTCATCCATCTGCTCGGAAGGTTCGTGCGTATTGCGGACGCGGCATTCAACTTTTGTCATATATTGCTTAAGACAAGTTCCGTATACACTTTCCAAGCGATCATAGCGGGGTAGCTTTTCTTCATCATTTAGCCGAACAATTTTATCAGAGTCATCGCCATCATTATCAAACCAACGTGTCCAGCCGCGCACACATTTTGTTTGATTTTGCGTAGCCAGTGGGTTCTCTGTAGGACCCTCGTTAATTGGAGCAGGCGTAGCTGTACACTTAACACCACTACATATCTCTCTTCGTTTGGAACAGCGGCAAGTGGCACAGTCGTCTTGATAGGTAATATCCCCCTGGTAATAAGTTCTTCCTTCCTTAACCATACATACAGGCTTACACTCTGCCTTCGCAACGCATTGTCGATAAGTGTCATTAAGATAAATGAATCCTTCTTCACAAGGCTTAACATTGCATCCTTCAATACAGTGTTCGCGATTGCACATACGGTCAGTCATACCTTGATCCAAGATATGGTCACAAGTCTCAACAGCGCACGCAGAAGTGCAGGAGTTGTATTCAGAGCAGTGAGGATCGCATTGCATAGCTGTAATCAAAGCACAGGTTTGGAAGTTACATATGTAGAAATAATATAAGATAAGATACAGAACATAAAAATATATACTTACGGCAGAAATGTGGTGTGCGCCACTGTATGTGAATTCCCTTTTGTGAGCAGGCATGTGCATAGGCCGCTATGGCTGTGCATAAGCACTCACAATCACCACCCTGATCACAGGCACAAGTGTCAAAAATGCAGCGCTTTAAGAAACGTTCAAGTGGAACCTCGGTATGGCAGGCTTTGAACAGCTCTGATTTCAATGCTCCGCACTTAAGCTGAGCCCAAGTCTCACGCTCCGGATGTTTTTTACAGGCATCAATAGGAGCAGATGGTACAGCACAATGTGACTGCAACTTCCAGGCATGACCGAACAATACCGGACTGGTTTCAAGTCCCAGAGATGGTGTCTGCATATCATCCAAGCCATTTCCGTTGTAATTACCGCATAAGCCGCTAACCTTATTTCGCCACTCATTTCCCAACTTCACATAGACACGAGTGCCCTCGTCCCATTTCACTTGAAGCTTAAGTTGAATAACTTCGACTACGATAAAAACGCCTGCCTTATATATGTGAAAGGCCCCATATCCCTTCGAATTAACACTGTTGCGAAGTCCTGTTATTAATTTAAAAATATTATTTTAGTTTAACGTATCAAACTTAATAATGATTTATTTTAACACTGACTTATAAATGTATTGTATAAATATATTGAATAGGTGGAAGCTACTTATAAGATACCCTTAATTTACCGATATCTGTGCAAAGTGTCAATATACGTAATCTATATGCAACTAGGAGGTATTACCCGTCTTAGCCCGACTCAATATATTGCTTCAAATTGTATTTATTTTGTGTGTGTGCATGACCTACCAATATATTTTCACCTTATTAATTACCAGTAGGAAGGCATTTAACGTATTTAAATGAACATTTTCTGTTCTTAACAAAAAATTGTTAGTAGTGCGTTACAGTTTGGTTCTTGCCAAAATATTTCGTTAAACGTACACACACATGATCACTATAGCTAATATTTTTTTAAGCTCGTTTTCCCCCCTTTGGAGCTCGAATTTTCCAAAAGCCTTAGTGCGCATTTACACTGTGATGGATACTATGAAATGATACTTGAGTCCAAATTTCAGCTTCCTATCTTTTACCGTTTGCGCTGTGCATTGATCACCAATCAATCAGTCAGTCAGAAAAAACTGTTTGATATTTATAGAGATAACGCAACGTTTTAAGATAGATTAAAATTTTTATTAAATAATGTACGATGCATTTAAAAAACAAGAAAGGAATGCTAAAGTCGAGCAGGCTCAACTCTTAAATATTCCATACATGCATACATACTTGTACATTTACGTTTACATCAGAATCGTGTCAATGCGTGTTTGTGTACTTGTACATATGTACGTATGTCTGCATTGGGCCTGGTAATATGGCTATAACTTTCTTTCTGATCAACCTATCATAATGAAACTTGGTATACGGATATACAAGGTGTGTTCCAAAGTAAATCGATTTATTTAATTCAAAATAGTCCCCTTCTGCTTCAATACAGCTTTTTGCGGCCGGTATGGCCGCCAGGATGCCGGTGCAAACCTTTTGAATGGCCTCTACGTCTGAATAACGCTTTCCTTTCATGGGCAAATGAATTTTTCCGAAAAGGTAGAAGTCGCACGGTGCCATATCAGGTGAATACGGCGAGTGGTTAATGGTTAAAATGTGATTTTTGGTCAAATAATCGGTCACAAGCGTCGATCGATGAGACGGCGCATTATCGTGCAACAAACGCCAACTTTCATCTTCGCGATATTCGGGCCGAACACGTCGAATGCGGCGCACCAAACGCTTCAAAACTCCAAGGTAGAATACCGCATTAACGTTTTGGCCAGGAGGAACAAATTCTTTGTGGACAATACCCTTGGAATCATAAAAACAAATCAGCATTGTCTTCACTTTAGACTTTACCATGCGCGATTTTTTCGGCTGATTTTTGATGAATTCACGCACAGTTTCGATGGAATTTTCGGTGATCGCGAATTTTGATTGGCCCACATGTTGATCGTCATTTATGTCCTCACGACCCTTTGAACACGTTGAAACTACTCTTGCACTCTGCTACGGGATAGGCAATCATCGCCATAAACTTGTTCCATCAATTGAAACGTTTCGGTAAAAGTTTTGCCAATTTTAAAACAAAATTTAATGTTGGCTCTTTGTTCGAAGCTTATTTTCGCACCGATAACACATACTGACACTTAAAACGCAATAACTTCACTTCCAATCGATTAAATGTCATAAAATTCCCAATGGATTTGTAGGGGGTTTGGCAAGAGATCTTGTGTTCAAATTTCAGCTTCCTAGCTATTACTGTTTGGGCTGTGCGTTGATTGCCAATCAGTCAGTCAGTCAGTCAATCAGTCAGACAGTCAGGACAAACTGTTTTATACATATAGATTTTTTATTTTAGTTCCAAATTCTAAGAAAAGTTGTTAGCGAAACAATTTCACTCCAGTACTACGTTCGGAAACTACAGGATCAAGTTCGCTCTTCTTCTTCTTCTTTTTATTTCTCTTATGGGCGCATATAACTTAGGGTTGGGATTGCTTCTCAAGGTTTCTCTCTTGTTTTAGAAATAAATGAATTAAATAAAGTTAAAAATGTTAAAAATTTAGAGATATATGTTTATGTACAGTTTCAATAGCATACATTTACATCTGGAATGTATCAATGCGTATCAAAGATGAGCAAAACCAACGACCCCATCAAACATTTGTGAGAAGAATTAGATAGACGTCTAAAAAAACGCGCTATTTCTACAAAAGCCAAGCTGAAGGTGGCATTCGTGGAGGAGTGGCGCAATATTGGATCAGAAACCACTCAAAACTTCGTTTCTTCAATGCCCAGGCGCTTGGAAGCAGTCATTAAACATAAGGGCGTAGTCACAAAATATTAATTTATATTGAAAAACGTATCTTTCTGTTAATTTTCGGTATTCTTGGTAAAGTGTGCCAATAATTTTGTTCAGAGGAAATCGGCTGTTTTTATAGGCTGTACCCAAAGGGTGAAAGGCTATACTAGTTTTGTGCGAATGTATGTAACACACAGAAGGAGGCGTGGCAGGCCCCACAAAGTATATATATTCTTGATCGGGGTGACAAGCCGAGTCGATATAGCCATGTCCGTCCGTCCGTCTGTATGAGCGCAAGGATCTCAGAAGGTACTACAGCTAGAATAACCAAACTCGGTATACAGATTCCCATAAGCCCTAGGCAGGTCAAGTTTACTTTTTTTTCCGATACACCCCCACTCCCCCGCAATTCGTGTTTTTTTCCATAACTCCCGTAGTTCTTGGAATTTCGAACTAAAATTAGGTAGCTAATCCCGTTAGTGATTATGTGTCTGTATACCAAGTTTCATCATGAAGAAAGTTATAGCCATAAATAAAATCGCTGCCCATGCTCTGCTTGTACCGCTGCCGGCAGCGCTGCCCGCAGCTGTTGTTGTTGTTGCTGCTTTGGTTCAACTTTGTGCTGCATACATACACGCATAGGTACGTGATGTAAATGTATGCTGCGAAAACTAAACATAAACATGTATTCTTATTTAATTTAATTAATTCATTCATTCATTCATTTTTTAATAATTTAATTTTTTTAATTTTTTCTTTTTTTTAATTTTCTTTTTTTGTGGAGAGTACAGGCTATGTTACTGTCGGGCTTGCTCGACTGTAGCGTTCTCTCTTGTTTATAATTTTAATTTTCTTAAATTAATAGAAAACAAGTAAAAAAGCTAAAGTCGGGTGTCCCGACTTTGAAATACTCTGTACAATTGTTTAGAATAATTATAGAAATTAAAAAAATTAAGAGAATTAAAAAAATTTGTGATTGATTTTACCTATCTCGGTATTCGAACTCACGTAAAGGGTGTATAATTGCACTTTTACATAGCAGTTGCGTCTATGTGAGTGTATGAATGTCTATGCTCGTCTATTCGTGTCTGTGTAAACATGTTTGCAGTCAACCAAACAGCAACATCAATAACAGCCGCGGGCAGTGCATGGGCAGAAAATATGTTTATGGCTATAACTTCCTGCTAAATCGGTCTATCATGATGATTTGATCATGAATTTAGCATACAGACACATAAGCACTAACTGGTGGTATTTGCAAAATTTGAGTTCGAAATTCGAAGAATTACGAGAGTTACGATTTGCGTGGGAGAGAGGGGAGGGAGGGAAATTCCAAAATACACATTTTCTGGGTATTCACATAAGGCATCTTGGACTAAAATTTGGTGTTCCTAGGTCTTATAGTCTCCCAGATGATTATACGAACGGAAAATCGGGAAAACCCCCATAGGGGGGAAGTGTGGAGGGAATCAAAAAATAAAACAAACTTGCACAGCGTACACACATAAGGCATCTTTGTGCAAAATTTGGTCTCTAGGTCTTATAGTCTCTGAGATCCAGGTGTTCATACGGACGGACAGACAGACAGACAGGGCTAGATCGACTCGTCTCGTCATGCTGATCAAGAATATATATACTTTGTGGGGTCTGCCACGCCTCCTTCTGCCTGTTACATTTTTCAGCTCCCGCAAACCTAATATACTCTTGCAAATTTCATGTACAGAGTATAAATACACAAGAATGATAAAAGGTTAATTTAATGGGAAATTTATCAATGTAGATGAATAAAATTTGTTTTATTTAAATATCACCATATTTCATGGAGAAAAACTACGCTAATGTCAGACATGCCAACTGTGCCAATAATTATGTTCGTCACTGTACATATTTGTACCTATATGTACTTATATGTACACGTACATAATATTTATTTAATATGCCCCAGCTTTCAGTACCCTACCTGTGTATGTAAAGTTTTCTGCAAATGAGCAGACGGAAAATACCTGCTAGTTTTTATATAAAAGCTTATAGTAAGTACTTACTCTTTATTGTTGACTTATTAGGATCCACATCGTAAGCTTCATCAGCACTAAGCAGCAATGACTCCTGTGATTTTCCACTAACTGATATTTCCAGAGACTTTGAACACGTAACGCCCATTGTGCCGCATAAGACATTCTGTATGGTAATGCTGAAACCGTCTCCATTGTCTAAAGTTCCTTTTGATAGCACATAGTCACAAGCGCCCTGGAAGTCAAAGTCTTGACCATCGAAGGACGTAAAATGCGAGTCGCCCCACACGCTGCAAGTAGACTCGCAGCCATTTTTGGAGCACTTCCAGTTACCTGCCTCGCACAGGCACACATTGCAATCCTCATTGATCTTCTCTCCATCACCATAACTTTTGCCTGCATGGTGGCACGAGCAGTTGGTTGGCAATACACAATCTAACCGTGATGTGTCATAAACATATCCTTTCATACAAACGCAGCCAGGCAGACAATCTGCCAAATCTACCTCATAATTGTCCATATTTTTACAAGTCTTGGGCTCCTTGGGAGCACATTTTGTAAATTCTGCAAATGGTTTATTAGCGCACTTAGCACGAAGCTCTGAAGACGGGGGATATTTATCTTCGTCGCCCGGCTCCGCATCTTGGCAGTCCCAAACGCCATCTGTGCAAGTACATATATCCAGATATTTTGCTCCAGGGCGCACTTCTTTATAGCCTGGTCGAAAACTCACACCATCAAAGACACAATGACACTTTTGCTTCGGCACACAAAAGCCTTCTTCGTTGATATACTCCCCATGAGGGCATCGGCAGCCTTCGACGCATTCACGCTTGCACGTGTTTTTGCTCGGCAAATCGTCGCAGGTCAAAGCACAGCCATCGCCACATTCGTCATATATTTGACCCAACGGACATTTGACCGCTGCAAGAACGAAAAGTGGAGAAGTTAAGTCGGGTTTCCAAAAATTGAAATACTCTATACTTATACGTGTGGAATAATTGTAGAAATTAACAAAATTAAGAAAATTATAATCCCGACTTTAAAATACTCTGTGCATATGTTTAGAAAATTATAGAAATTAAAACATGAAACGCAGAAAATGTGTATTTTGGAATTTCTCTCCCTCCACCCTCTCCACCCCAAATCGTAACTCCCGTAATTCTTGGAATTTCGAACTACAATTTTGCAAATTCCCAATTAGTGTCCGTATTCCAAGTTTCATTATGATAGACCGATTTAACAGGAAGTTATTGAAATTCAAAATAATGAAAATGTGTTCTAAAGATTTCGAATGCAATGAAATGTCCCGTGCGGCATCGAGAATTTAAAATTTAACAATTTGAAACGTTGTTTTCTTAGATTTATGATCAATTTTTATATACTCGTATATACATAAGTGTACATACTTTAAAATTATTGAAATCTAGATGAATAATACCGGCTGCGAAAAAAACAAAGAGGCGTGCAAACGGAGAGAAAAATATATAATTTTTATAATGCTGCTCTCAGTTTGAAAATCAATTTAGTAGTATCAAGTCTAGTTAAATTTCTACGCTTTGATATTATTATAAGTATGAAAATAAAAACATTGAATGTTTCTGTTAAACCAAAACCATTTTTAAGAGACAATAATGCACAGTGTTTTAAAATTAGTGTCATTAATATGCAGCTGCCCGCTTTGCCCCCCCTCGCTACGGCCATGCTCGTCTTGTCATACTGATCAATAATAAATATACTTTTGGGGGTCTGTCACGCCTCCTTCTTCGTATTAAATACATTCGCACTAAACTAGTATACCCTTTTACCCTCTGGGTAAATTTGACTTATCAATATGAAACTTAACATAGGGACACACAATCACTAACGGGAATTATTGAATTGATTGATTGGGAAGAATTTGGATATCAAGTTTGTGTATTCTATCTCTTATTTCTGAGATCCTTGCGTTCATACGAACGGATAGACGGACATGACTATATTAATTTTTCTACTCATACTGATCAACAATATACCCTTTTACCCTATGGGTTTATGGTGTAATAAAAATGTACATATATATCACTGCATTTAACATAATACGAATAGCTTTGGCTGAACTTATTTGGACTCATGTTCACTATATTTTTCAAACGCTTACCGCATTCCTTAACCGACATGCGCCACCCTGTCTTGATACCCTGCCGCATACACTCAGTGCCGTAAGCAGACAATATGGGGCAATAGCATTTAGCCGGATCATCTTTGCAAGCGCACGTATCATATAAGCAGTCTTCGTAAAACTTTTCCGGTTCCACAGTCCAATGACAGTCTTGAAAAATATCATCAGTAATCCAAGCACAATATTTCTCAGCCAATTTGCTCTTCTCAGTTTGAAAGCTGCAGGGGTGGGGACCTATTGGGGCTTCTGCTTGAAACTGGCATGTATCTTTGGTTCGCCATTTGTCTGCAAATGGCTCTACTGCAGTCTCCACATCACCTTCTGGTGTCAAGAAATCATCCTGCGTATTAGAATTGAAAGTACCACATAATCCTTTGGTATTTCCACGCCAACTAGGGGGAGCATCTATATATACACGCGATACACCATCCCACCAGACGCGTATGCCACCAGCAAACTCTACCGTAATAAAGGTTGAGCTGGCACGACGCACCAATACCTCGCCGAGGCCTATAATTTTAGGCAACTTAGCTATAGGCTTGTCGTTAATGAGTGTGCTCATGTCCTGCCCCAATTTGATTGTAGCTGATGTAGCATCACGCAGAATAAAACGCAAAGTTACTGACTTAGTACATGACGGATCGTCCGGTGCGGCATAGTTCAATGCTTCAGATAACGCGCCTGAGCAGGCAACATTTTCCGCCTCCACGGACATATTAGGTGTCTTAAGCAGGTAGTAAGAGCATTTTCCCATGAAGTCAAACCGTTTTCCATCAAACGTCTGGTAGTGAGGATCCCCAATAGCACCGCAGCGCGCGCCACACATTGCGTCCGTGCACTTCCATTGACCATTTTTGCAGGTACAAGTGTTACAATCCTTTTTGACAGTAGCTTCTGGCTTAAATTCGCGACCACGAAGATTACAAGGACACAGTTCGCGGGTTATGCAGGCATCTTTATACTGTACAGTTCCTTCTGGACAGAAACAACCTTCATTACATTTTCCCTTTGTGACTGGTATAACATCAGATTCACAAGTTGGTTCGAGGTCAGGCCCACATGCGCTGTAAACACGACCAAATTTGCAGCTAATGGCTTTAATAGAAATTGATATATTGTAGCATATTTGTATTAAGGTAATTCCTCAAAAAATACTCACGACATAGTTCTAAGTTACGCCAGCCATGTTCCAGATTAATTCCTCTAAAAGCACACTCTTTGGCCAGCATGGCTATTGAATCACAATTGCAATTCTCTGGGTGCTCACGATGTGCACAGTTGCAATAGTCGGCAATACAATTTCGTATCAGAGCCTCGAAATTAAATGGCTTGATACAATCGCTAAGCTTTTCATTAGCCAGTAGTCGCTCACATACGGAAATGGCATTCGTCAGTTTTTTTTGTTCACACGACTCCATTCCAAAATCTAGCTCTGCAATGTTTTCCACTTGACACATTTCAGATTTATCATCAACACGCCAAGCATCGGTGTATGCTTTTATTGTTTCTAGTTTTATTCCATTTCTGGACAATAAATCATTTTCATGGTCGCCATCCAAGGATCCACACAAGCCACCAACTTTTTCCCAGAGCCCCGGTCCAGCATGCACAGCTACAAATTGTTGACGATCCCAATCAATCTTTAGTCCTACTGATTCCAAATCTATTTGTATGTGTTGCGCTACTGGCATTACTTTCATGCCCATCAACTGAACAGGCATTGGAAGTTGTTTTAATGGCGTAAACAAACGTACCGTACCATCTATTTAATATTAAGAGCGTATAAAAAATAACCCAAAATCATTACTTTTGTACTTTTACGATACTTTTTTGGATGCTTACTAAAATTCTCAAAAGTGTATAGCACCGATTGCCAATTAATTTTGAGACTGTGTGCGCAACCGTAGCCAGATCCATAAGGACAAGCCTTCACTGTTACATCGAAGGTGCCATCAATTTTATCTGTAATTAGGGTGTGCGAGCACGATAAGGGAGCCCTGAAAGGATTAAACACGCAATTTAGCAATAGTGCTCGATGCGAATATATTAATAAATAATAAAGCTTTCACGCACTTGAATATCAATCCGTCAAAGGTTTTCATATTGATGCCACCCCAGATAGCACATAGCGCAGGCTTTGGAGCTCTATCAATAGCAACATCCACTTCTGAGCTCACATACAAAGAAAATGTGCCAGAAGACATAACTTGTTCTTCCGAGGACCACCATTCCTAAAAAAAAAAATTATGTAATTACATTAAAATATTATCATAACTGTTATAATTTATTATTTGATGTAATATTTACGCTTTTGCGATCAATATCTCTATATTTAGCTAGCAGAGCTAATAGCCTTTCCCGCTCATTCGCGACATCGTATGCATAGCCACCGCTAAAGGTACCATGTACCTTGAATCCAGTCTGTTCTGTAATTTTTTGTGTGGATGTACTCGACTTTATAACATAACCAGGAGCTGTGGAAGAGCTTATTTAGTAGAAGTGCGAGAAATTGGTATTCATTACATACGGAATATGCATTTTGGCAACGGCGCGGGAATATAACGAGCTTGCTTGTAGTTGCATATATATTCCACATCTAAGTCGCCTCGAACTTGAAGTCCTGGCACTTGTGGGCATGTAAAACGGCAGCGCGCTTCCTCCATGCCGTAGGCGCATTTGTAGTTTCCGTTGAAGTCGGTATTGGTCACATTGCAGGACGCAATGTCTTAATATAAAGAGTAAAATATAAATACAATAGCTCTAGTATATTGTATGTATACCCACTAAATTCGCAATGCGCTCCCCGGTACATCTTGGAACACTGGCATACATTGAAACTGATGCACTGCCCACCATTCTCACAAGCAGGTGAGCAAGTTGCTGTAGAAAAGTGATTAATTTATTGCCACCTATAAATTTCTTTATTTACTTACGCCCACAATCTGGAGGCCTAGTATAGCCCGACTTTGAATGAACCCACTGGCCATCACGGCATTCAATGTTGGTAATACTGCTACCATCTGGAAACTGAAACCCACGCATACATTGGGCATTGCAAGCACTAGAGCATGACGATTTATATTATAGATAACAATTTCATAAAGTCGACGTCTGTCAACTTACTTATTAGTACAGGACACCTTGGAGTTTTTCGGGACGGGTGGCTTGCCCGAACAGACTGATTTTCTGTACTGACACAATTTACCAGTGTAGTACTCAGAACATTTGCATACCCCTGAAGTTATGCAGATGCCATTGTTCTCACACGGGGGAAGGCATTGGGCTTGACAGGGTGGTACCTGATCAAATATGGAGTCCCGGATTATCCAATTTCCATTCATACAAGCCAGCTTTAGCAATTTGCTACTATCGGGAAAGCTATGTCCTTCTTGGCATGTGACTTGACACTGACCATTACGGCAACTGTACTTAACATTCTGTGGTAGCTCGTATGTTGGACAGCTTCCATGTGCCGATAACAACTGTCTTGCATTCAACAAAAAGTTTTGCGTCCGTGCGATGGTTGTACTAATTAAAAATATTGATTATTAAATACAACTGGTTTAAAATGGTACTTAAAACACAAGCGCAGAAGCTAATGACGGGTGTCCCGACTTTGAAATACTCTGTACATATGTGTAGAAAAATTATAGAAACTTAAAAAAATAGTTTGTTTTAATTGAAAAAACGTAACGAAATTGTAATATTACAAAAAATGTTTGATGGATTATGCCTCCTTGCAAGGGTGTTGGCAGAGGGGGGGGGCGTCGCTCCCCCTAGAAAAAATTTTGCCATATAAAGTTCATTATTATGACGCATTATTTCGCCATAAAATGGATCTGAGTTGAATTTGTTGAAGTTTTTTCATTGATCATATGCATAAGATATTTTTTAAATGCATCGTGCATTATTTAATCAAAATTTTAATTTTTTAGCCCCCCTTTGGTAAAAGCTGCCTACGCCCTTGCCTCCTTGTAATTGCACATTTACATAAAATGTGTCTCGGTTTTCGAACTCACGTAAAGGGTGTATAATTGCACATTTACATAGCAATTGCGTCTGTGTGAGTGTATGTATGCCTATGCAGGCAGCGCTTGAGCAGCGCTGCAGCAGGTAATATATTTATGGCTATAAATCGGTCTATCATAGTGAAACATGGCATACAGACACATAATAACCAACTGGTGGTATTTGCAAAATTTGAGTTCGAAATTCCAAGAATTACGGGAGTTACTCGTATACAATACACACATAAGGCATCTTTGTGCAAAATTTGGTGTCTCTATCTCTTATAGTCTCTGAGATCTAGGTGATCATACGGACGGACTGACAGACGGACAGACAGACAGGGCTAGATTCGTCTCGTCATGCTGATCAAGAATATATATACTTTGTGGGGTCTGCCACACCTCCTTCTGCCTGTTACATTTTTCACTTCCCGCAAACCTAATATACTCATGTACATGTCATATACAGAGTATAATAATATTAATTGTAAGTAAAACGAAAACAAATATAGCCCTGATAAGGTCCTGTTAGCCTATAGTTTTAACTTTAAGCTTTAAATAAATAAATAAAATATCTTTCTTTCAAATCGGCCTATCACAATCAAATTAAGCATACGGAGACATAATCGCTAACTGGCATTTACCAAATTTGAATTTTAAATTTTGAATTTTCCTAGACGGAAAATATTAAACAAACTTGCACAGCGTATACACACATAAGGCATCTTTGTGCAAAATTTTGTGGCTTTAGCTCTTATAGTCTCTAAGATCCCGGTGATCATACGGACAGGTAGACATAGATCGACTCGTCTTGTCATGCTGATCAAGAATATGTATATTTTGTGGGGTTTGTCACGCCCCCCCTTTGCCTGTTACATTTTCACCTCCCGAAAACCTAATATGCCTTGCACAGAATGCATTTCATGTTCAGAGTACAACGAGTGTTGCGCATAGCAAATTTGATCTACTTTAACATTTTGCCCACGAGCCTCAGTTATCCACTTTACAAGTTTCCCATGAGTATTTGCTTGTGGGTGTGAACATATCCAATAAGCTACAATATGTGCACTTTTTATGAAACCGGCTTAAAAAATTCTGGAAGCAATCGTATAAAATTTTTAATTTCAATGTAAGGCCTAGAGAAGTTTCGAACAATAAAATAAATTTGTATTACCCTTTATTAAAGCCCAATAGGCCGAGCCCGTTATTAGCAAGATGACGCCTAAATTATACATGTTTTAAGAATAGAATATGGTATAGAATGGAATGAGCTTACCCCTTCGTCTTAATGCTTCCAAAACCCGGAACCATCGGGCTTCCAAAGCTAGCATATCCACCTCCACCAGCACCGCCTCCATAACCAATTCCAAGGTTGGCACTACAAATTGGTATTTAAAATTTATAACCTTTTAGTTGATTATTCATTCGTACCTAGGTGCAGCAGGAGCAGGTTTTTTAAATAGGAACACATGACGCTCAAGACGTTTTTTCCCATCAGCAGATGCGAATTGATCTAAAACACTATTGTAAATGGAATAGAAAGAAGTATTAGTATAAATATTCCGGGAAGCTGGTTGCATTTTATCTAAGCACAGTATATCTATATATATAAAACAGTTTGTCCTGACTGACTGACTGATTGGTGATCAACGCACAGCCCAAACGTTAAAGGCTAGGAAGCTGAAATTTGGACTCAAGTATCCTTTCATAGTCTAGGTCCCCACTAAGAAGGGATTTTGGCTCCAACGTTTGTATGAAAAATTTACAGTTTTCATCTGATTAACTTTAAACTTAGTTTGTATACTCTCAGAACAATTCCAAGAAAAACTGTATACTTGGTTTTTTTTTGGGGCCTAAAATATGGGAGTTTTCCTGTAAAAAAAATGTTGGGGCACAAAAGCAAACCGCGTCAACAGCCCACAGCCCACACGGTAAAAGCTAGGATGCTGAAATTTGGGCTCAAGTATCCTATCATGGTGTAGATGAGCACTAAGAAGGGATTTTGGAAAATTCGAGATCCAAAGGGGCGAAAAGTAGCTCCAAAGTTTGTTTGAAAAATCCGCATTTTTCAACCGATCGACTTAAAACTTAGTTTCTAAAATCAATTAAAGAATACAAACAAAACTGCATACTCGGTTTTTTAAATTTTTTGTTGGAGCTTGAATTATTGGGGTTTTACGTATGGTTTTACGTATATATACATACATATGTACATACATATCTTCGCTACGCACCCGGCGGACTGCCAGTCCTGACTTAACTGTGATCTTCCTCAGCACGTTGTACGCACGGTCGAGTAATCCCCGAAAAGTCCGACGCGGGACCTTTAATTTTGATTTATAAATCGGGACGTCCCGCCAAAATTGGAGCGTTCGGCAACGCTGATATGTACATACATTTAAATTTTTCATGCAGGCGTTATCCGCCTACATACATATGTATATAAGTATGCATTAAATTTTTTAATTCAATACTAATTTGTGTCTTCAATTCCAAATATGATTGTTGTGAATGTAAAAGGTGTGTTTCTGCTTTTGTAAATCGCATGAATAAACTCACAAAATAGGCTTAACGATAAATGACTCTTAGATTTGTTCAGAGTATATTTGTAGCGTTGTTAGCTAACACTAAAACGGTTAGTCGCTGTAAATATGCGATCAGCTGAGATGCTAGAGATGGGCATGTGTCGGATGCTCTATGTGCTAGAGCATGAAAACTATCGATAGTTGAATCCGTCGATACAATCAATAATTCCATCGAAGTTTGAATGCAATTAACAGAAAATTTAAATAATAACATCTTATATAGTAATTTATTGAGATCAATTAGAACAAATCATATACAAACATACATACATACTATGTACATCTGCGACGGTAACTGTAAGCTTTTGACATTTTGCCTTTGAAATGAACAGGCGTAAATGATCAAAACTAAAGAAGAAGCGCGAGCCAATGACTTGTAGTTGTTGTTGTTTTTAGTTTTCAAAATTTGATTTAAAACCATAGAACATTGTTTATTACAATCAAACAACAGTGCTCGATTGTCCAATGTATACATACATACGAATGTACATACATGCTATATATGTATGTACGTACACAGGCATACATACATACATATGTGTGTACATATGCATGCATGTTTCTCTTTGCTTTTTCATACATAGACACGAACTGTTGCTTGTTCTGTGTGTGTGTGTATATGATGTCCCCAACTATTTGATATTTCCGTTCTTTGTAATTTGTTGTTGCTGCATAAAGTTACTAATGAAAACCATAATGCCAAATGTACTAAACAAAGAAAAAATTACTTTTAAAAATGTTAAATAATTTTTAATTAATTAACATTTCTTGCTCTGTCAGTGCAAGACGAATGAGCATACATACATACATAGATGTGTACATGTACGTAGATGTGTACATATGTATGTATGTGTGTACATTCACACATTAGTGTCTCACATTTTGCTTTGGCTATTTCAATCGTTTGCACGCAACTACACGAACAGCTGCTTGCATGTGTGTGTATGTATACTTAGTTGTCCCCAACTGTTTGATATTTTGTATTGTTTGTTCTGCCTGCATTTGTAGAATGAATATTTTGAAAATCCTTGAACGCAAAGTTATAGATTTAGTTACGCAGATTACAGTCCCCAAATTTGACATTGATCGGAAAAAATTTATAACAAACTTTTCATTTGAAAAGGTGAATAAATATGAATACCCCAATAATTTAAGCTCCACCACTAATTTCGAAAATCCGAGTATGCAGTTTTGTTTGTATTCTTTTATAGATTATAAAAATCAAATTTAAAGTTGATCGGTGCAGAAATTCAGAATTTTCAAACAAACTTTGGAGCTCGTTTTCCCCCCTTTGGAGCTTGAATTTTCCAAAATTCCTTCTTAGTGGGCACCTATGATAGGATCCTTGAGCCCAAATTTTAGCTTCATAGCTCTTGCCGTTTGGGCTGTTGACGCGGTTTCCTTTAGTGCCCCATTTTTTTTTACAGGAAAACTCCCATATTTCAGTCCCCAAAAAAACCAAGTATACAGTTTTTCTTGGAATTTTTCTGAGAGTAAACAAACTAAGTTTAAAGTTAAACAGATGAAAATTGTAGATTTTTCATACAAACTTTGGAGCTCGATTTCCCCCCTTTGGAGCTCAAATTTTGCAATATCCCTTCTTAGTGGGCATATACACTATGAAAGGATACTTAAGTCCAAATTTCAGCTTCCTAACTTTTACCATTTGGGCTGTACGTTGATCACCAATCAGTCAGTCCGGACAAACTGTTTTATATACATATGTATATAGAGATACCTACATACATATACACATGTTTGCGCATAATTTCAAACAACACATGCACGCACAAATACATAAATATGTACATACATGCATATTGCATACGGTCATACTCGGGTAAAACCCACGGAATACTCGAGTATTACCCGAGTATAGCTCGCGCAACACCCAAACAATACTCGACAAATAATGGCACTATACTCGTTCGATCAAACGCTCATTCTGCAAAGTCTGGTTTGCTTCGATCAGGACCCAGTCATCTTAAACGAAGTGACCGAGCCTGATGTGTTTGAATGCAAACCAATCAAGGCTGGTACCCGTTCGCAACGAACAGAATACTCGAAGTGACCGAGCCTGAACTGTTCGAAAGCAATCCAGTCAAGGCCGGTACTCGTTCGAACCGACCGCAATAAGCAAAGTGACCGAGCCTGGTGTGCTCGAAAGCAAACCAATCAAGACCGGTGCTTGTCCGTAAAAATGGAAAGATTGCTCATGCAAGTTCGATCATAAGAAAAATGAGAGTACTCAACTCGTTCGTGCTCGTTTGCAACCAAGCAAAGATCTGATTTGATTGAATTTTCAGCAAGGGTGGTCGAACATACTCGTTGCAGTTCTCTGATACACACACACTTATATAAACACGCAGAGACACGATTCTGATGTAAATGTATGCTGTTGTAACTGTACATGAACATGTCTTTAATTTAATTAAATAATTTAATTAATATACTTTTTTTAATTATTTAAATTTTTTCCATTTTTTGCTTTTTGGTGGGAGGTACAGGGTATTTAAGAGTTGAGCTTGCTCGACTTTAGCATTCTTTTCTTGTTTTTTTAATTTTCTATAATTATTCTAAACATATGTACAGAGTAGTTCATAGTCGGGACACCCGACTTTACCTTTTTTTAGTTGTTTTGTTGTTGTTCCTTTGGTTCAACTATGTGCTGCATACATACACGCATAGACACGACGCGACGATGCTGTTAAAACTGTACATAAACATGTCTTCTGTGTATGTATTAAATAAATGTTCTTTATTAATTTAATTAATTAATTCTTTTTTTAATAATTTAATTTTAAAAAACTTTTTTTTTTAATTCCTATTTGTGGAGAGTACAGGCTATTTTACTGTCGGGCTTGCTCGACTGTAGCGTTCTCTCTTGTTTTATCGAAGAATCTTAAAATAATGGATAAAATGAAACGAAATATTAGACCGTTTGACGGCGAAAAATAATCCACATGGAAATTTATTATTTTCACTGATATCATCGATCTTATCCTAATACATCCCTTTTATGTCCATTTCAAAATCGTCTGCAAAAATGTCTAATTCGGGCGTAATAATTCTGGATTTAAGTGACTGAATTAAATATTATTATCACAAATTCCAGCTTTAAAAAAAAATGCTGAAAAATGCTAAGTCAGCCCAAAAAAAGGATAGATTTCCGGATAGGGGCTGTTTGATATTTTTTCAGGCTGAAGCAATTTTTAAGAGGACAGATCTATCCGGAACAAGTAGAGAAGCTAAAGTCGGGTGACCCGACTTTGAAATACTCTGTACATACGTGTAAAATAAATATGCGTCTATGTCTCGTGTGCCTCTGCAAAGCAATAACAACAGCTGCTGGCACTGCTTGGTCCTACATACATACATATATGGCTATAACTTCCTTTTAAATTGGCCTATCATGATACAACTTAGCATACAGACTCATAATCACTATACTTAATTTTCGAATTGCTTTTATGTGCTCTTTTTTCACTCACTCATAGTTGTAGTCATCCTCTGCAACAATATCACCTTCTTCGGCCAAAGCATAATATAACAAGATTAGGCATATAAAAAAGCACTGAAATTTATATATCATCACGTTGGCGGTGGCAGGAATAATTTAAAAGTCAAATCTATTTCTTATTATGCCGCTTGAAAAATAATGTTTTTTGGAACACCACCGACAGGTTTCCGTTTTTATAGTTAAGCAAAAATAATACAACCTTTACA